TACTTTCATTGTGACAAATGATACATCTGTAATTATGCGTCTTTGAGGCAGCTGTATGAATGGAATAGGACAGATTAGAGAAAAAGAAATGGATAAGCAAACAAGAGGAACTCCACATATGAAGTTGTACGAGGCCATTTACAGAACGTCTTTTCATTACACAACATATCAGAAGTTAAACATCGGGAAGTCTAACCACTTCCCATTGTGATTTTCTCAAGAAGCTGCTCAGTTGCTGATCTAATCATCCTATTCCAGGAACATACGACGACTCCGATGCAACATGAACCACAGAACCCATTAGAAAGGAAAAAGCACCCCTACTGTACCCTTAGGCAGCCGGAATAAATCCATCGCAGCAAAAATAGATTCACAACAAAACTGAGAAAAGTCATATGACCCTCTTGCAACATTGAACAAAATAACAGTATGTGCCTCTTGTAAAGGAGTTCATGTGATCATTGCACTTATTTTAGCAAAAACATTCTGCTTACACGTGATGCAGGCCTCCATCAACCCCCCGGGACTGCCAAAGATGCATTTCATATAGGGCTGCAACAACTAATCGACTGAGTCGATTGTAATCGATGATTGAAAAAGTTGTCAACGTTTTCAATCATCGATTAATCGGCTTTCGATTAGTTAGCCCTGTCCATGGCTCCACACACGCAGCACCTCCTCACGCTCGCTGCTGCCAGACCAGCCCTCCCGCATCCACACGCCGCACCTCCTCCCTATCGCTGCCAGACCCGCCCACATCCACACCTCCTTCCCGCCTCACACTCACCGCCCGCATCCACAATCGGCACAAGGACGCGGGGAGAAGGGTGAACAGGCGTGGGGGGATGACAGACAGGCCCGATCTCAAAAGCAAGTTGTCGGAAGACTGCTCAGGTAAGCCTGCACTAAACCACATGGTGCTCTATAATGTAATGCTGGGATAGTGGGATTTGTAGTCCCCTATGGTACATTGTGCTGTACTGTATATTATACAGGGCAATGTACCATCAGCTATAGAGGAATACAAAGCCCTGCAATACATTTTACACTGTATGTATATTGTATTGCTGGGATTTGTTGTACTCCTCTATAGCTGGTGGTATTCTGCATTGTGCTGTATAGCTGTATAGAGGAACTACAAATCCCAGCAATAATACATTATACAGCGCAATGCAGAATACCGCCAGCTATAATGTACTATTGCTGGGATTTGTAGTCCTGTATAGCTGATGGTATTCTGCATTGCGCTGTATAATGTATTATTGGGATTTGTAGTCCTCCATAACCGGTGCCATTCTGCATTGACTGCTGTATAATTTTACACTTTCCATTTCACTATATTGCACACCACACCTTTTTTTTTTTACTTCCACCGCTCCAAGCTTGCTCCTGTGATGGACTGCAATCTCAATACATACTAGTAGTCCAACCCTGGAGCCATTTTAAAAACTCCTGATTAACCGAACTTAGTTGCAGCTCTAGTTTCATACAATCTCCTAAAGTTTCTGATCCAGTATAAAATACCTCATTGCAATCAAATAGAGTTTGTAGTGAAGCACGTGGCTTCACTATTGCCAGGGTCACTGGTATCTGCTGGTTTCATCTGTTGGATGAGTGGGCAGGATGGTGAATAGGTGAATCATGTTTACAATCCTTTACATGGAATGCTTGGTGCTCAGAACTGAGTAGTTTTGGGTTAAAAATGGCTAGTTCTGGGAGCTTGGAGCGGTGACTACTTTTCTTCCCTATACTCCCTGTGCGTCTTGTAAAGTATCCCCCCTCCAGAAGGAAGGACAGTGTCAGCACCAATTCAGAGATGATTGGAGGATCTACAGCCGAGTGATACACAAATAAGATACATTGTTGTTAATAGTTAAAGGTACTTGAACGCATTTTTAAGATTTTACTCCTGAGTTTAGTGCCACTTCAGATTCCTTCACCGCTCTTTAGATACAATGATATTGCCCGTTTGTTCTCACCTGTACGAAAAATATGAAATGTTTGAACGAGGTGTTGAGATGTGCTTCCTCCTGTAGCTGCATAACCGAGTCAAAGTGCTGGTGGTAGATGTGAGCATACACACGAAACAGGCGCTTCAATATGGTCTTCGCCACAGACATGAAGTTCTTGGGGAAGGGGACACCTGGACACACAGGAAGTGAAGCACAGGCAACGTTAGAAGGAAATGGCAACTTTCAGGAAACAGTTTTAAATGTCATGTTTTACATTTTCTAATAAGGAAAGCGGACGAGACTTAAAAGTAGAATTAAGGTGGCCATACACTGTACAACCATCGCAAGACTTTAGTCTTGCGATGGTTGTAAAGGGATTAAAAAAAACGTACGATCTGCCTATCTTGGACAGGCAGATCGCACTCTCGATCATCGCAAGCCCGCCCCCCTGAGGGGCGGGCTTCCGATACACAAGGACGCGGGGAGAAGGGTGAACAGGCGTGGGGGGATGACAGACAGGCCCGATCTCAAAAGCAAGTTGTCGGAAGACTGCTCAGGTAAGCCTGCACTAAACCACATGGTGCTCTATAATGTAATGCTGGGATAGTGGGATTTGTAGTCCCCTATGGTACATTGTGCTGTACTGTATATTATACAGGGCAATGTACCATCAGCTATAGAGGAATACAAAGCCCTGCAATACATTTTACACTGTATGTATATTGTATTGCTGGGATTTGTTGTACTCCTCTATAGCTGGTGGTATTCTGCATTGTGCTGTATAGCTGTATAGAGGAACTACAAATCCCAGCAATAATACATTATACAGCGCAATGCAGAATACCGCCAGCTATAATGTACTATTGCTGGGATTTGTAGTCCTGTATAGCTGATGGTATTCTGCATTGCGCTGTATAATGTATTATTGGGATTTGTAGTCCTCCATAACCGGTGCCATTCTGCATTGACTGCTGTATAATTTTACACTTTCCATTTCACTATATTGCACACCACACCTTTTTTTTTTTACTTCCACCGCTCCAAGCTTGCTCCTGTGATGGACTGCAATCTCAATACATACTAGTAGTCCAACCCTGGAGCCATTTTAAAAACTCCTGATTAACCGAACTTAGTTGCAGCTCTAGTTTCATACAATCTCCTAAAGTTTCTGATCCAGTATAAAATACCTCATTGCAATCAAATAGAGTTTGTAGTGAAGCACGTGGCTTCACTATTGCCAGGGTCACTGGTATCTGCTGGTTTCATCTGTTGGATGAGTGGGCAGGATGGTGAATAGGTGAATCATGTTTACAATCCTTTACATGGAATGCTTGGTGCTCAGAACTGAGTAGTTTTGGGTTAAAAATGGCTAGTTCTGGGAGCTTGGAGCGGTGACTACTTTTCTTCCCTATACTCCCTGTGCGTCTTGTAAAGTATCCCCCCTCCAGAAGGAAGGACAGTGTCAGCACCAATTCAGAGATGATTGGAGGATCTACAGCCGAGTGATACACAAATAAGATACATTGTTGTTAATAGTTAAAGGTACTTGAACGCATTTTTAAGATTTTACTCCTGAGTTTAGTGCCACTTCAGATTCCTTCACCGCTCTTTAGATACAATGATATTGCCCGTTTGTTCTCACCTGTACGAAAAATATGAAATGTTTGAACGAGGTGTTGAGATGTGCTTCCTCCTGTAGCTGCATAACCGAGTCAAAGTGCTGGTGGTAGATGTGAGCATACACACGAAACAGGCGCTTCAATATGGTCTTCGCCACAGACATGAAGTTCTTGGGGAAGGGGACACCTGGACACACAGGAAGTGAAGCACAGGCAACGTTAGAAGGAAATGGCAACTTTCAGGAAACAGTTTTAAATGTCATGTTTTACATTTTCTAATAAGGAAAGCGGACGAGACTTAAAAGTAGAATTAAGGTGGCCATACACTGTACAACCATCGCAAGACTTTAGTCTTGCGATGGTTGTAAAGGGATTAAAAAAAACGTACGATCTGCCTATCTTGGACAGGCAGATCGCACTCTCGATCATCGCAAGCCCGCCCCCCTGAGGGGCGGGCTTCCGATGACCGCAATGCTGAGCGGGCAGTGTGCGCACACCGGCCCGTTCAGCATTTGTCTTCCGAGCACCGTTCTAACCAGCCGAGAATCGTACGATTCCCGGCTGGTTTTCTAACATGCTGGTTCGACGGAAGACGTGCGACCGTACAGTAGAAACGGTCGGACGTCTCCGTTCACACTGCTCGATTCATCGAGCAGTGTATGGGCACCTTTAAAGCCTCTGTTTTTTTTGCATATATCTACAGCTAGCAAAAAAAAAAAGTTTTAAAAGAGGTCAATACTTACCCGTGTCTTCCCAGCGCGCTCCCGTCCCAAAATGTGAAAAATCTCAGGCGGCCGCAAGGTATCTTGGAGCGGGCGCATGCGCAGTTCACATTTTCGTCCGGGAGACGAGGAGAGACGCAAGGTAAGTCTATGGTCGCGTGCACCCGCATGCAGACACCGTGGGACAGGAAGTGCCAGCAAGGACAGAGTCAGCGCTGGATCGGGGACCCGCCGCAGTGCTGGAGGGACAGAAGAAAAGGACAGGAATGGTGCAGACAATGTCCTTCCTTCTGGAGGGTGACTACTTTTGTTCTCCATGGTCCGTGTGTGATGTAAAGTAGTAACAGTAGAAAGGCATCATGGCACACTCACAAACCAGCATGTAAAACAACTTGTCTCACCACTAAGGACAATGACAGAGGTTTGGATACACGTCTTCTGCAAAGAATGTGTAAGCCGCACTGCTGCGCCAAGGCACCTCTTATAGTGCGGTCCTAACTCTACACTATGAGAGTCTCCATAGTTGTGCTCCAAGATGGAGACTCTCATAGTGTAGAGTTAGGACCGCACTATAAGAGGTGCCTTGGCGCGGCAGTGCGGCTTACACATTCTTTGCAGAAGACGTGTATCCAAACCTCGGTCATTGTCCTTAGTGGTGAGACAAGTTGTTTTACATGCTGGTTTGTGAGTGTGCCATGATGCCTTTCTACTGTACCACTGTTCAAAGCCCATTTCGTGTGCACCTTACTGTATAACTGGTAACAAATTGTTGAGTGCGTTTGTCGTTTGTTTTGCTTTGTGATGTAAAGTAGTCACCGCTCCAAGCTCACTCCCAGGATGGACTACAGTCTCAATACAAACTAGTAAACTACAAGTGAGATTGTAGTCCATCTTGGGAGGGAGCTTGGAGCGGGGACTACTTTACAACACATACAGGGACCATGCAGAACTGTCCCTCCAGAAGGAAGGACAGTGTCAGCACCAATTCAGAAATGATTTGAAGATCTTTAACCGAGTGATACACAAATACGATACATTGTTGTTGATAGTTCAGGTACTTGAATGCATTTTTAAGATTTAACGCCTGAGTTTAGTGTCACGTTAAGGAAAGCAAGTGCTAGGTTGCTACAAAACACTATTCACCTATGGGGTGTCCACCACAGCCGTCACAGCACAAAGACGACATTGAGCGCAGACAAGGAAAGCATTTTTCGACCCACCAGAGCTCTTTGGACCCAGAAGCCACTATATGCATACTAAACTTAGTGTGTGGTTGCCAATCCAGACAAAGCAAGGGGCTCACTGGCTCCTGCAGCATCTTAATATGTACTTCCTTTGCTCAGGGGCTGTTCCCATACAGCACTACTGATTCCTTTTACACGGCAGAGCATGGGTAGCTAAACTTCGGCCGTCCTGCTGTGGTAATACTACAAATCCCATAATGCATCTCCCTCTGGAAGTCATGTCTGTGGCTGTCAGTCTTGCAATGCCTCCTGGAGCAGCTGTTACATGACAGCTGGAGGACTGAAGTAAAATACTACACAAGGCAGTCAAGACGTATTTCACTGGTGCTGTAATGGGAACCAGCTGGGTCAGGTTTGATCTACTGGTTTATGGAAATGTGAACAGCAATAACCTGTAATATTGCATTGGAGGCTAAAGGGCTTAGAAACCTGTACAAATCAAAAGGAGGTTTTTAGGCTCGTCACACATTACCAGTTTAACCGCACAAAATGCGCCAAACATGAAAAATACATTCAAATGTACATTGTTCACACAACGTCTGTTCAATATGAAAACCTGTGTCACGCAAACAAGTCTAGGCACGATATTCCAGGTGGATTTTGCACGTTGCGGTTATAGTAATAGCTGCAAACGTGCAGAATCCGCGCGCATGTTAATTTCTCACGTTCTCTTGCCATGTGGAAAACCGCAAACGCCATGTGTGAATGGAACCTCTGCTGAATTTGAAAGCCGTTTCTATTGGAACCTACTCATTGGAAATGGTCTACAATGTATGTAATGTAGTTGTACAGAACATTTCCGTGCATTCTCTCCCCTATGCTTAGTCCCAGCATCAAATGTCTGGCAAATTAGAGACGTCACTGCATGTCAGAGCATTTGTTTATTTCAAGACTGGGGTATTCCATGGATTTTCAGATGAGTCAGTGTAATGAGTGTGTGAAATGACTCCCCCTACACATTGCTTGTATTTCTGTTTCTATGCTCTATCTACACTGTACCAAGGGACCAAACCTGCTGGTCAGGTATACAAAAATGTAGCTTCCATACCATCAGTTTCCCCAAAACAGTGCTGTCATCTGCATACGTTACCCAATACAACTGTACCCGCATATGTTACCCAATACAACGTCTATACCTGCAACCCAACGTAAAACCAGATTTTATACAGCCATAGTACACAGATCGCTGCACCTTACAAGAAACTGCCAGGTTATACAAAGACTCTCTGCAGTGAAGATTGGCAGACCGACTGCTATTACTTGTATGGCATTAGAGCTGAAAAGGGAAGCATGGGAGGCCCAGTATTGCCATGGACTTGTCATGTGACTTCACTGGCTACATGGCCTATCCCACGGCACGTGGGAAAGGATCCAATGAATTGAAGTAAAATACTAGGCCTCATCACAACACCTCAGAGTTGGATGACCACTGAACCTACACATAGGTGAATGCCATTAAATAACACCCATTGTTACATTCCTATCTCATACGGGCTTAACTACAGGCTGAAGGGAATGATTCAGTTTCATCTTTTATATAAATAAATGCACACTTACGTAAAAACAATGTGAATTTAAAGGGTACTTTCACTTTCCAAGGCAAATTTAGGGGAAAAAAAAATGTAATTACCCCTATCAATCTGTCCCCTCGGAGGCTCTTACCTGTCAACGATCACACCTCCCCCTCCCCACCTCCCGGTGTAATATCCGTACTCTATACACAGGATTGCAGCCCTGCGATATGCATTTAAAATTTTGCTTGCAAATGGTGAGCACTCATTGGTCAGCGCAGATGAGAAGTGCTTCTTGTCAAGCGCTGACCAATGAGTGTTTGCCATTGGCGTGCAAAATCTGAAATACATATCGCGGGGCTGCAATCCCGTGTACAAAGTAAGCATATTACATCGGGAACCGCAAAGGGGAAGGAGCGATAGT